GACATGCCTCCTGTCCCAGTAAGAGTTCATCTTCTTCCTGAAGCTGTTGTCAGCTCTTCCAGCCGGGTTCCTTTTCATGCTTTCTCTCGGGTGCCACGTTTGCTCCCTCCCTCCATCCTTCCTCTGCCGCTCTCCTGGGCTCAATGCACAGCCTTGTCCTGGGGATCGAGGAGTCAGGAAGGGTGGTCGGCATGTGCAGGTACAGGAGTGCGGCACACGTCCTGCCCGTGGTGTGGACTCGCTGGGTCCTTGACAGTTTTTGAATATAGTGCATGTTATTATTTATCTGTTCTTATGGGTAGTGCTGGGGACATCCTTAATTGTATTATCAACAGCATTGTGCCATTATAAGTACTAGCGTGTGCAGAACTTTTAAGATGTGTCTTTCATTATAAGTTATGTGTCAGCTTCAGTTAACTGCGAGTCTTTAAAAACCAATGATGTTTTTCTCTAGTAGATAGTTCTGATTTTCCATGGTAGACATTTTCATGTTAATCTCAGAATCATTAAAAAAAAACCTCATTAATGTCCTAAAATATTGAGAAGATTGCAATGGATGGTGATTAGCACCCGCTCACGTTAAGGGTGGCAGATGGTCTCCATCGTATTCCCAAGGTGTCTTCCACGTGTGCTACCCATTTACAAACATAGACGCATGACTTAGACATCTCTGTGGGCACAGGGCAAGAATCAGTTGTAATAACACTTTCTTTTCCACAGCCCCAGGGTAAACGCCTTCTCTAGGGAGCCTTCCCTGATGCCCTCCTTCAAAGGTCACCTTCATCTCCTCTGAACTCATGGGGCACACGTGTTAGAAACGTTAGGTTGGGGGCTATTGTGAATTGCTGCATGTTAACCTATAGAGAGCAAAGAGCAGGTGGCTAGGCCTAACTTTAAGTAGCTTTTCATATGTCATCATTACTATCAGAAACATGGCCTTAATTATATGTTCCTAAATGTGTGTTTTTTAAAAATGATATTAGGGTTGCAGCCTGTTCTCAGCAATATCGTTGGTTCAGAAAGTATGTAACCTTCCACAGGTCTCATTCTTAGGAAGCCACCTGAGGTGTGGCCGTGTGCTCTGATCGGTTGGGGTGACGCAGAGATGGAGCTGCAGAAATCAGTAAAGAAAGGGGAAGTGCCTCTTTTTGTGGTTTTTAAAAAACTTTTCTTTGTTCATAAAAATACTTTTTGTGAAAAAAGATTTCTAAGTAAAATTAAGTGATTTATTTAAATTGATACACAAGATTTCTGATAATTAACTAAAAGAAATGAACATTGCATTAATTTTTAGCATGCAGTTTTTTGTTTATAACAGTCGTTTTTGTGGGGGGTATGTTTTAGGGCATCATTCAGAAGATAGTGGACAGTCACAAAGTAAAGCACGTGGCCTGCTATGGATTTCGCCTCAGTCACCTGCGGTCAGAGGAGGTTCACTGGCTCCATTTGGATATGGGTGTCTCCAATGTGAGGGAGAAGTATGAACTTGCACACCCACCAGAGGAGTGGAAGTAAGATTACAAACCTACTTTGGGGTGACTCGAACTTGATTTGTTTTGCATATTAGAGACACGCACGAGAGGATGATTATCTATGCTTAATTTTCACACTGATTGTCATTGGGACTCCTGTGTACATAGAGTTGGCCGGTAATTATTAACTAGTGATCTCTTCTGCACTTCTTTGTAGTCTGTCTTGGGGCACCGCTGACCTGGACTTGCTGAGCCGTCTGACTGATCTCATGCTTTTGTGATGACCTGTCGTTCTTCCCACTTCTCTTGTCTGTGCTGCTCTGTCCAGCCTCTGCTCTGAGGAGGACTCAAGCCCTAGTCCTTTTACTTCCTGTTCTGCTGGCACCCTTTCGTGCAGCAGGGCTCCCTGTGCCTGGAGGAGACCACACCCAATTACCTTATTAATGGGCTGCAGAGCTCGCTTTATTGTGCCCAGTACAGTAATCCACAGCCCACCGAAGAGAGTCAGCGTCTCTTGGACGTTCACACATAACATTGAAATTAGGAGGTAATCTCTTAGTGAGTCATACTGACCTTAGTGAAACTAAAAGCATTCAAGGTCAGTTAAAAGAATTCCCTATAAATTGTCCTTTTCCTGGTTCTCTCCTAATAATTTTTTTCACGTTTAAGTAAACCAAGATGTTTGTAGGAAATTATACATCTAAAAACACGTTTGAGAGAAGTATAACTTACAGAACGGGGTTCTTGCGCAGCGGTTCCCGTTTTTATAGACAGTGCTGTGGAAGTAAAGATCGTTGTAGAGTGAGGAGAGCATTCAGATGTCAGTAACCGTCAGTTCAAGGGTCTAAGTGGAGAAGATTAGAAGGATTAAAAAGAAAAGCAAACACGTTTAGGTGAGTAAATCTTTAGTTGAATAGAATCTTGACCCAGTTACGGTTTATCAAAGAAATATAGTCGTATTTTCAAATTTAGCAAATAGCTGAAACCGAGCTAACAAAACAGTCCGTGAGAATGTAGTTTGGTTGCTTTTCATCACTGATACAGCAGAGATTTGACTTCCATCTATTTGGTCAGTTAATTAAATAAGTGTTTAAAAACTAAGAATATCTAAAAGTTACTTGAAAATACCTCTAGGTATTTTTAATCAACACAACTTTGTTACCTTCTGAATTCATGCAGACATGTCAGAGGCAGCCTTCATTATAGCAATAGTTTTAGTGCTCAGTAAAGTGTTGAATGTAGATCCCTGTGTATACAAGCTTTGCTTTTGTTCTTTTAAGCCAACTTATTTTACCTAATTTCAAGTAAAATTGAGTAGGCTATTTTTTTTGGTGGAGCCTGGATCCTCAAAACTAAGAAAGATTTGGCTGACCCTCTTCAAATGAAGGGTGATGAAGATGCTACTCCTAATACTGATGAAGATGATGACATTGATGTATTGTCACCATCGAGTGGCTGTCAAGAGCCAGGCACTGTGCCAGCTATGTGCTATTTATGATTTATATATTTGTAATTTGTAAACTGTATATTTCATTTACCCAAACCCTAGGAGGTAAAGACTTGTTATCCTTATCTTACAGATGAAAACAGAGGCACAACAAAATTGATTTAAGCTGCATTCACATAGATAATTTGTGGCACAGTTTTGATTTGGATTTATAGCTCTCTGACTTCACAGTATGGGTTTTTAAAATCAACATGCCTGTCCCAATGGGAATAATGTGATCTTCAAAACTCTGAGAGTGTAGCTAGGCTTATAAGATGAGTGAGGGTGTGTGGATCGTCAGTAGAGGCGATGAGAGAAGAAAATGTGATCAGAGAGAGATACCATTGATACATGCGTGGTATCGTCCAGAGTGTGAGGGTTAATACAGATGGTTCTAAAGTGTCCGTGGGGAACAGGAGGCTGTTAAATAACCAAGCAGATTTGAAAAAGAACAAAACAGAAGTTCTGGAAATCATTGGTTAGATAAAGCAGCAGATTAGACATAGCTGAAAACTTAGTAAACAAGAAGGTGGATCTGAGAAAATTTGCCCAAAACGTAGCACAGAGATGAACAGATGGAAATTATGAAAGCAGGTGTATGTAACATGGAGAATGAGAAGGTCAACCCTTTTCTAACAGGAATTCTGAAGAAGAGAATAAAAAGGATGAGGAAGAGGAAATAATCTGAAGAGAAAATAGCTGAGAACTTTCTAGAATCAGTGAGTGACATGCGTCCTTAAGTGCAGGATTAACAAAAAATCTCAAACAGGGCGAATAAAACTAAATGCATACTTCGGCAAATTATAGTAAAATAGTGTTGTACAAAAGAAAAAGAGAGGATGTTAAAAGCAAGCAGAGAAAAATTCAGACTTCTTAACAGCATGATTGATGCCAAGACAATGGAGGGATTATACGTTCAAAGTGGTGTGAAAATATAACTGGCAGCCTGTATTTGTTTGCACAGTTAAATTCCCTCAAGAACAGATATCGGGGCTTCCCTGGCAGCGCAGTGGTTGAGAGTCCGCCTGCCGATGCAGGGGACACGGGTTCGTGCCCCGGTCTGGGAAGATCCCATGTGCCGCGGAGCGGCTGGGCCCGTGAGCCATGGCCGCTGAGCCTGCGCGTCCGGAGCCTGTGCTCCGCAACGGGAGAGGCCACAACAGTGAGAGGCCCGCGTACTGCAAAAAAAAAAAAAGAACAGATATCGGCTAAATATGAGGGTAACAGCTCAAACATTAGAAATATAACTTAAATACGAGGATAAAAGCTCAAACATTAGAAATATAACTTAAACCGTAGTTGGGTAAGTAGGTATTAGAGAAACGTAGGGATCAAAAAGAAGGAAAGAGATAGAGAAAAGGCATGGGAAACAGGATAAATAGAAATCACGAATAAGATGCAGGTATACTAATGGTGAATGGTCAGAGGTTATTAGAGTGTGATTAAAAAGTAAATTCTAGCTCTCTGCTATTTATAGGCTGTATCCAAAACAGTGATGTTCAAACATTTTTCTTTGACTTACAGGAAGAAATGTGTTTTGCCTTGAGATTTAGTGCACGTATACCCGTTTGTGTGTCTCAGAGCTATTTGTAAATAACGGACCTACATATTTCACAAAACATACTCAGCCTTATTATTTACACTAAAGTCTAAGGGTTTTCTCTTCAATGTCATTCTGTTTTGTTCTACTTAAGTAAAATAAATTAATAAATGAATAGTAAAAAGAATTTTCCTACCTACTAATGAGTCCTGATTTTCAATTTGAATAACTCTCACATAAAACATGAGTACAAGTATACCAGACAAATAATAATCGGGAAAAGAAAAGATGAGTGCTATGCTGTTAGCATCCTGTGCAAAAAACTTTCAGGATGTAGAGGGCAACTACGTAACAATAAAAGGCTCATTTCACCAGGAATTTAATAAGTATAGAAATAGATATAACTCTTAAACTTATAAATTCCTAGGCATTCCTCAAAATGTATAAAGCAAAACTAGTATTAAAGGAATAAAACTTACCTCTCCTAATAATTAAAAGGAAGAGCGCAAATAATAGTAAGTAAACACTAGTTTTAAAATTATGTATCTAACTATTTTTTCTAACGTAGAAGTATAGGATCCTGCATTCAACAGTATATTGAGCAATTTAAAAACACATCTCTACATAATTTACGGTTCGGGCTTCCCTGGTGGCGCAGTGGTTCAGAATCCGCCTGCCAGTGCAGGGGACACGGGTTCGAGCCCTGGTCCGGAAAGATCCCACATGCCGCGGAGCAGCTAAGCCCGTGTGCTGCAACTACTGAGCCTGTGCTCTAGAGCCCGCGAGCCACAACTACTGATCCCACATGCCACAACTGCTGAGCCCGCACACATGGAGCCTGTGCTTCGCAACAAGAGAAGCCACCACAAGGAGAAGCCCGCACGCCGCAACGAAGAGTAGCCCCCGCTCGCCGCAAGCAGAGAAAAGCCCGTGCGCAGCAACGAAGACCCAACGCAGCCAGAAACAATAAATAAATAAAATAAAATAATAAACTAAATAAATTTATTTAAAAAAAATAATAATAATTTATGGTTCAAAGGAAAAGGCCCAGCCTGCTGAGGGCCTGGCTTTGATGGGGTCTGTCCCTTCGCCATCCAGTCCACTCTCTGCAGTAGCTCATGGCCGCAGTCACTTCCTCCTGTCTAAATACAGCTGGCCCTCAGCATCCTCAGGTTCCCTGGTTCCGCAGCCGTGGATTCAACCAACCGCCGATAGAAAATTCTGGTGGGGGGGAACTTCCAGAAAGTTCCAAAAAGCAAAACTTGAATTTGCTGTGCCAGCATCTATTTACATAGCACCTACATTGTATAAGGTACTATTATAAGTAATCTAGCGATGCTTTCAAGTATACAAGAGGGTGTGTACCTCTTACATACGCAGGCTGTGCCAGTTTACATGAGCGTACGAGGATTTGGGTGTCTGCGCGGGATCCTGGAACAATTCCCCTGTGGATACTGAGTGTACTTCCTTCATTTAGCCTCCTGTATACCAGACTCTTCTGGTGAAGGTTTTCCTCCTCTTTTACTGACCATCACGGTCTGTCTTCTCCTGCTTAGCCTTGACGTTTGGGGCTGCTCCAGTGACCTCTTTTCCTCTTTCTGCCCACCTTAGACCTGCCTTTGGCATTAAATTCACTCTTTATTGGATAAATGCAGGAAACCAATGGACAGGTTATTGCAGTAACCCAGGAAAAAGTCACAGAAGACGATGGCTGTGGGGAGTAGTACTTGAAGGAATGAGAAGCAGCTGTACCGAGATATGTTTAAGGTAGAGCTCACCGAATTTGCTAACAAATCTTTTAAACTGTAAACACCCGAGGAAATGTGTAGGTCGTCCCTGCTCAGAAACTCCCGGGAGCCCCCCGTCACCCCGGGATCCCCCCGTCACCCCTGGAGCCCCCGTCACCCCGGGAGCCCCCCCGTCACCCCTGGAGCCCCCCATCACCCCTGGAGTCCCCCATCAGCCCAGGAGCCCCCCATCACCCCAGGAGGCCCCCGTCACCCCTGGAGGCCC